GGATTCCTAAGCCGGATTCGGGAGATTATCCAGCGAGTGGAGAACCTATTGAAGAGAGATACATGCCCTGTGGAGGCTGCTGAAGATGCACTAGGACCCAAGGTCAGACTCCTCTGGACATCTCCAGCAGGAATGGACTCTCTGCTCCAGGGTTCATTACTCTCTGCTCTCAACGGCCACCTTAGATTTAACTCCTCTTCATTTCTGGGACCCTAAAACAGTGGCTCTTACCCCATTTAGAACAAGATGAAAGCCATGGACTCTTGTTCTAGAAAAATGTGTTCAGTGCATACTTTTAACTCATTATTTTAAAATAATTTCAGACTTGTAGAGAGAAGTTGCAAGAATTGTACAAAGAACTCCTAGATACACTTTGCCCAGATTTACCAATTGTTAATATTTGCCACATTATCATTCTCTTCCTCTTCCCCCTCTCTCTGTACGTATACATATTATTTTTTTCTAAATCACTTGAGAGTAAGTTGCAGACACAATGCCTCTTTATCCCTAAATATTTTGGTACATACAATTTTGAGTCCCCTGAAACTCATGTATGGACTCCTAACTTAAGAACCCCAGCCTGAAACCTTCCTTCTAAGACTTGGCTCCTCCCCACTGTGACTTTGGGTTCCTTTCACTCCCTCAGGAGGAGCCAGCACCATTGGCTGCCCTCCGGGGCCCCCTCCCAGGCCCATCCAGTGGTATGTACCAAGTTCTATCCCGCTCATCCTGACCCATGGGGTTGCTCCTGGGACGTGTATAGGGTATGGGGGATTGAATCTCAACACTCTTCTCCCCAGCAGAGCTCCAGAGCAGCACCTCCCTGGAGCAGGGGAGCTGGGCAGCCTTCTCCTCCACTTCCCCACCTTCTCCTGGAACCCCCATGTCTCCTGGAAACCCATTTTCCCCCGGAACTCCCATGTTCCCAGGTCCCCCATGTTATCCCAGCCCTTCCCCATTCTCCCCCATTTCTTCTCTGATCTCCTCAAATCCCTCTCCACACACCCCCAGTTCACCACTTCCATTTTCCTCCAGTGCATCCCAGTTTCCAATCCCATCCTCTCAGTTTCCACAGAGTTGTCTCCGCCCCAGTTCTCCACCCACATTCTCCCCCAGTTGTTCCCAGTTCACTCTCAATCCCCTGTCCTCTCCTCCATGCACCTCCACCGCTTCCCTTCCCCCAACCACAGCAGCCCCTCTCCTGTCTCTGGCTAGTGCCTTGTCACTGGCTGTGATGACTGTGGCCCAGTCCCTGCTGTCCCCCTCACCTGGGCTCCTTTCCCAGTCTCCTCCAACCCTTCCTGGTTCCCTACCTAGCCTGCCCCCTCTGGATCCCCTTACTCCTTGTGCCCATGAGAGCCCTTCACCTCACACAGCTGAGATGGAGAGTGAGGTGAGTAGGAAACCAAGAGGGATGATTAGGGAGGCTCCATTCTGCGTTGTTTCCCTCCTCATGGATACACACTTTGTAGGCCTCCCGAAATCCTGCTTGGCCACTCCTGGGTGAAGCCAGACTGGCACCCATTTCTGAAGGTGAGACCTCTGATCACTGACCTTCCCCTGCTCATTATCCCCAAGCCACTTTATATCTACCAATTTCTTGCCCTCCCTCCATGCTGCCCTCCTTGTCTCCTACAGAGGGAAAGCCCCAGCTTGTTGGGCGTTTCCAAGTGACGTCATCCAAAGAACCAGCTGAGCCTCTTCCCCTGCAACCAACATCCCCAACTTTTTCCACTTCTCTGAAGCCTCCAACTCCTCAGCTGACCTCAGAGAGCTCAGACACAGAAGATAGTGCTGGAGGTGGGCCAGAGACCAGGGAGGCTCTGGCAGAAAGCGACCGTGCAGCTGAAGGCCTGGGGGCTGGAGTCAAAGTGGAAGGGGATGAAGGGAAGGAACCCCAAGTTGGCGGCAGCCCCCCACCTCTGAGCCATCCCAGCCCAGTGTGGATGAACTACTCCTACAGCAGCCTATGTCTGAGCAGCGAGGAATCAGAGAGCAGTGGGGAGGACGAGGAGTTCTGGGCTGAGCTGCAGAGTCTCCGACAGAAGTGAGTCTGGGAAGGATGGAGGAGCAAGAGGTGAACTTGGGAGAGCAAAGTGTGTGGCCAGTCCTTTCATGTGCTTGGTGCATCCTTAGGCACTTATCAGAGGTGGAGGCACTACAGACACTACAGAAAAAGGAAATTGAGGACTTGTACAGCCGGCTTGGGAAGCAGCCCCCGCTGGGTATTGTAGCCCCAGCTGCTATGCTGTCTAACCGCCAGCGCCGCCTCTCCAAGGGCAGCTTCCCCACCTCCCGCCGCAACAGCCTGCAGCGCTCTGAGCCCCCAGGCCCTGGTGAGATGGCAGTTGCCCGCCTTCCATCTTTCCCCTGAGATCCCATCCTTACCGACTCGGTTTTCTTCCAGGCCCTGGTGGTCTGCTCCTTGGTTTGTGGGGACTAGTCCCCCTCACCCTGCTACGCCTTCCCTGACACAGTGCTCTCCCTTCCCCATCCTGCTCCCAGGCATCATACAAAGGAACTCCCTGAGTGGCAGCAGCACCGGCTCCCAGGAGCAGCGGGCAAGCAAGGGGGTGACATTCGCCGGGGATGTTGACAGGATGGTGAGGGCAGGCACAAGGGAGGGAGAGCCCAGAGAATGGTAACTGGCTACAGCTTCACCCTCCTTCCAACCTTGGAGGTTTCTTCAGCACTTTTTCTTTTCTCTCTAGTGAATTCAGAAGAGAAGCCATGTGTCTCTCCCACACCAGGGCCCACCATGGAGCTTGTGCTCTCAGAATCTGATGCTTTTCTCACCAACACAACTCAGCAAGGAAGACCTCAGCACTGAGTGGGTCAGGGGGGCATGGAGAGTGCAGCTCCATTATAGTAAAGAGCCAAACATGTGGGAACTGTTTTCTGTATGGAGGTGTCAGTTCTGCAACCTACGATCTTCATCTCTACTCCCTCCCCAGCCAAGGGTCAACCACTGAGCAATCCAACCCAAACCCAGATGCTTCTAGAGGGCCCACTCCCAACTCGGAGATTGTGGAGGGTATGCTCACACCAGAATTAGGAGCAACCAATAAAAGTGCTGGAAAGGACTCTGAACATGTACCTGTCACGCCTTAGGAAATGGGGGCAAAGCCTTATGGGGCGAGGCAGGGGAAGATTTAGAAGGGCCTCTCCTTTCACAATGGGAGGCAGGGGTGGAAGCTGCCTAGCCTTCTGGCTCCCTGCCACCAGTTCATGAGGAAACTGCAAAGTCAATGATCCACTTGACCAAGCTAAGATCCCTCCAGACCCCACCCTAGGCCTATATAGGCAAGCACCTGTGAAAGTTAAAAGAATGAAGGCTCCTTGTCCCTCATCCTTCATCTACCTCTCTCTCTAGGGACAGAAAAAGGCAGTAGACTTAGACTAAGAGTGTGCTTTTCAGGGTAGAGGACAGAAGCGTGACCTTCCTTCCACTAAGACTTACTTCAAACAGCCCAGTAATCGCTCCCTTAAATCAGGTGGAAAGATCTCACAGAAAAAGTAATTCTAGTTAAACATTTACGGCTCCCTGGGGCAATGCCACTGCTGTAGCTACTGCCTATGGAGCTTTCCAGCATGAAGTGCCATGCCGTCTCTCTGCCCCCACACATTCACTTGGCTCCAGGAGAGATGATTCAGTTTATTATTATTCTCAACTTGACCCTATCTTTCCCGCTTTAGGCTCCAACACTGCACAGAGCTGCCACACCCACTCCCATAACAGCTGAGCCCCTAAGAGGTGAAGGGAGCAAACCACAAAGAAAGTTTGGGAAAAGCCAAGGTCACAAACCCTTCAAACAAGGAAACAAACAAGCATTCAATCACTGTACACAGTGAGTTTGAGGTGGGCAATGTTCCCTTGACACTGACTAAATGCATAATTAAGACCATGGCTTCTTGGGCTCAAACATAGTCCAAGGTTAGTAAGGTAAGCAGTGACACAGTAAGCAGGCATCAATTTGTGTAGGATCACGGGGCATCATCCACCATGTGAAGGGGCTCCTGCAGGTTGGAGATGTTCAGTGCCCATACAGATTAGGGTCCTGATGCCCTTGCGAGAGCTCGGGCTCGTGCAGCTTTGACCTCGTCTTCCAGCTCATCTAGGAAACGCTCCTGGGACACCGAGTAGAAGGTGTAACCATCTGGGGAGGTGGGTTCAGGAAACCACTTGGAATATGCACGTTTGCTTTTCCTAGACTTGATCTACCACCCTTGTGAGTCTCCCATTCTCCCAAATTAATGATTCCAGCTTCTAGTTCTCTGCTCTGAGTCCCGACCCAACTCCGCTATTATTTTTTATTTTTAATTAATTAATTATTTATTTATTTTAAAGAAGATGACCGGTAAGGGGATCTTAACCCTTGACTTGGTGGTGTCAGCACCACGCTCTCCCAAGTGAGCGAACCGGACATCATTATATGGGATCCGAACCCATGGCCTTGGTGTTATCAGCACCGCATTCTCCCCAGTGAGCCATGGGCCGGCCCAACTCCGTTACTATTAATAAACCATATTAATAGAGCACCTTAGAAAAGACAAGGTAAGGTACTGACCCCACTTTACCCGAACATTAAACGCCTAGCTGAACCCTCCTACGTGGTTCTCTTGCCCTCCGCTGGCCCCATATGCGTTCTCCCCGATGCCACAGCCCGGATGGATACAAATAGCTAACACCAGGGCCCCGATGCCCAGGCCGGTCACGATATTCCGGGTCCGCCGCTGTGGCAGAGTCTTCTGCCACTGGGCAAGCTGCACCTGCCGCATGAATTGCAGTTGAGCAGGAGTCAGTTTCTCCCGAGTGGGGTCGATGCGCTGAGCAAACGGGGCCTTTTCACTCTTAGCATCGACAGGCTCACCAGCTCCTGACGCCGCCATGCTGCTGTTACTCACGTCGCAGTCCTGGGGCGCGGGGCTCACTGGGAATGGTAGTCCTTGGCCGCTGCAGGGGACGCTGGGAGTTGTAGTGCGCGTGCCCTTTTCAGGGCAGAGCCGGGTCTCCTGGCCAGAGGGGAAGGGCGGGGGAGGAGAGAAGCGGCTGCGCTTTTTGATTGGCTGAAGGGTCCGCGGCCGTTGGGGCGGGAAAAAGCTGTGAGGGCTCGAGGCTTTTCCTCAGACTTGAGGCGAGGACGAAAACGCCGGAAGGGAGCGAGAAATCCAGGGTGTGACGGAAGACTCTGGAGAGTAGCTGAGGGTGCCGTTTTATAGATCCAGTGAACCGTTCTGGTGCCCCAAAGGCTTGTGAATATGGACGGAACTGTGAGGCCAGAATTGGCCTCCCTCAGTGCCTTTCAGTTTGGAGCTGTTGCCACAGAGACGATCGAAGATGCTCTACTTCACCTGGCCCAGCAGAATGAGCAAGCCGTGCAGGAGGCTGCGGGCCGGATGGGCAGCTTCAGGGAGACCCGCATCGTGGGTGGGGCTGCAGGGCCGGAGGGTCGGGCTCATAGGGGACTGGGGCACCTGTCTTTGGGGCACCGACCTTGAGATTCGGTGTATCTTATTCATTCCAATGTTTGTTAGTATCTACTCTATGCCAGGAGCTGGGGATATAATAATGACCGGGAGACATCAGCACCCTGCAGCATGTGTAGGCTGCTTACTATTGACATGCCTGGGATAGAAAGATGAAACAGAGATATAGTCCTTGCTTTCCAACTATGCGCAATCTTTGAGGGATACTAGGACAAGTAGGCCAATGACTATGTACAACTATGGTTGGATAAGCAACATGAGAGAGAGAGAAAACAAGCTTTTATGGGGCTTGAAAGGAGTGATGGGGTGAGAGGAAGAATTAAGGGAGTGGTCCAGGCGTCGTGGCCTTTGATGTAGACATGGAAGGAAGGATGACTTTTTAGTTGGTGGAGGAGGGGGATGCATTCCTACCAAAATGGGACAGCATGAGTAAAGCTGTGGGAATATATGCGTGCAGTGTATAGTATAGTCCATATTGGCCAGAGCATGTGGAAGAGCAGTTGAAATTAAGTGGTTGAAATTGAAGACATACCATGTAGAAATTTGGATGCCTAGGGGAGGAGTTTATACTTGATTTAGTAGGAAAATAAGAAGACGTTGAAGGTTTTTAAATAAGGGAGTGATATGTCTGTAACCTTTGCCTTAGTAAAATTTATTTGGGTAGTGATGTAGAGGATGGATTTGACTAGAGAGACATGGGAGGCAGGCAGACCAGAGGCGTCCGTGTCAGTGGTCTAGTTGATAGAGCAGAGGGAATCACAAAGAAGAATGGATTAAAAACATTTCCGGGCTGACTGGTTATCTTAGTTGGTTAGAGCACAGCCTTGTAACGTCAAGGTCACAGGTTCAGATCCCTGTACTAGCCAGCCCAAAAAAAAAATTTTTTTTTTTCTGAAGTAAATTTTAGGGTTCTGCTGTGGATGAATTTAAGAAGTGAAGAAGGAAGAGATGACTGTGCCAAAGCGTTGGGCCTAGGAGACTGGGAGTATAGTGTTGCCATTAAGAGAAACACACACGTGTGCATGCACACACACACGAACATCATAAAACAGGAGGAAACATGACTTTTGTTTGGGAAAGATAATAGCTTTGGTTTTGGATCTACTGAGTTTAAGGTGCTTGCAGAACATCTAGAGGGAGGTTCCTAGCAGGCTCTTTAAAGAGTACGTCAGAACTAGAGATAAAGGTTTGAGAGTTATCTTCATAATGATATTGCTGAAACTGGCAGAGGATAAGCTCCTAGAGGGAGAAAAGAGAACTCAAGGACAATTCCTTGGGAAACATTTCATGGTCAGGGAATTGGAGTAGAAAGAAGAGTCATGAAGGAAATAAAGGGAGTGGCTGGGGACGTAGGAACAGAACCAAAGGACCTTGGAAGCAAAGAGGAGAGTTTCAAGAAGGATGTGGCCAGCTATTGAATCTGCTTCAGGAAGAACAACAGCAATGGCGATTGCAAAAAGGCCATGATATTTAACAATTTGGATATATCTGTTGACCTTTGAGATAATCCTTTCAGCAAGTTGGGAAAGGTAGAAGCCAAACTGCAGAAAATTAGGGAGTGAATGATGAAGTGGAAGCAGCAGGTGTGTAAGCCAGGCTTTCAAGAAATTCAACAGTGATGGGAAGGAGAAGGAGAAAGATGGAGCCCTGGCTTGAGAGGGTAGAAGGGGCCAGAGGAGGAGATGTAGCCAGTAGCGAGGGAGAGGTGTAACCCTCATCCATTCCACCTAACCCAAGCTCAGTTTTCTTGGCAAATTAACATGGAAAACAGAAAATGAAATAAAAGGATGGGGTAATAACACACAATTATGTGTTCTGGGGTATTTTGCTAAATTGCTTGAACTAATTCCTGTCTACATTGGATACTGCTAGCAGAGCTGTGGTCTCTGTAATGATAAGGTTTTATATATATATGTGTGTGTAATGAGTGTTGACTACATTGTTACACTGTCTTGTGCTAGCTTCACTTTTTGACGTTTTTTTCCCTAAGTCAGATTTTCTTTGAAGACATATGATAATTTGACTATGTGTAATTCTTTGCTAAAAGTTCCTAGGTCTGCAGGAGTTTTCTGTTGAGAACTGACATTTACCCTTGCTTCCACCCTCTAATGATATTGCAAGTTAAATAGAATTTTATCTGGGGCTGTTCTTTCAAAGAGAAACAGAGGCAGCTAAAGTCTTGCCAAGGTATCTTGCCCTTCCCAATGATTCCCTCCCCACAAACTGGGCTATGTTCCCTGATTTAGGGGATGTTTCTTCAAAACAAGCCACTCCACAGTAACAAACTTGTGCTTGGGGAGAGGCTTAGTCACCAGAGATTTACCCAACAAGCTGGTGGTAGAGAGATGGTGTCCAGCGGTAAGGTGAATTGTGTTTGTAAAGCAATGGGTGTTCTCCAGAGGGTGGTTACTAAACAAACAGTGTCATAAAGAATATCAAAGCTCCAGGAGGGACCTTTCTGTTCCTGCCAACATTCCACTGAAAACAGAATATAGGGGTTAGGGTTTTTATCCATCCAAGAATCTTCCTTGAAGCTGGAGGCTCTCATCATGGTGCAGAGACCAACTAGATCAGCTGGTCTATTTGTGTGTAGCTGGTCAAGTCTTTTTATCAGCTGAGACCCACAAGAAGCCTGAAGGGTCACCAAAGGGATTTGGTAAGCCCTTCTCTTTGGCACTCAGTCAGCCTCGTTTTCATGCCTCTGATCTGCCTATTGGCAACAAAGGAAACTAAGCTCAGCTTTAGTTGTTTTAATCTCATTTTTCTCACCTCCTGACCCATTTCCCTTGGCCCCATCATGGCTCTTACACAACGCCAAGAGTTCACAGAGTAGTTTTAGTTGTATCTTGTGAGTTACACTCTTCTTTCCTGTTTTGGCAGAGTTTGTTTTTCTCCTGTCTGAGCAATGGTGTCTGGAGAAATCCGTGAGCTACCAGGCTGTAGAAATCCTAGAAAGGTAAAACCCTGAGCATAAGGCCTTTTGTGAGTGGTACCTCTCAGAATGGCTATTGTAACCTAAATCTTTAACAAAGTACTAATTGCACCTTACTTTGAGGCTTGGTTTTACACCCTCTCTCTTTACTGGCAAATGTAAATTTCTTAGCCAGCAATTGATATTGGAGAGGATAAGATGTAGCATAGTTTGAAGCACAAACTCCTTTTAGGTTGTGTGAGTGTGGATTATTTACTCTTCCCTTCCCTATCTTATAGGTTTATGGTTAAGCAGGCAGAAAACATCTGTAGGCAAGCCACAGTCCAACTGAGAGATACCGAGAAGACGGAGTCTCAGAATTGGAGGGCTCAGAAAGAGCAGCTTTTCAACAAGTTTATCCTCCGTCTTGTGTCGTGTGTTCAGCTGGCCAGCAAACTTTCCTTCCACTACAAAGTAAGGAGCTGGGATTGCTCACGGGCACCTGAGTGTTAGAAAGAAACCAGCTCATCGTGGCTGTGAGAAACCTGCTCCTAGGCTAGGTGATACTGCTCATGTGAAAATTCCACAGTGTAATTATGCTTCCCAAGCATACCTCCTAAACACACACAGTCACACAGAGGCAGTTAAATAGCCTGAAGTTCTGTTCCCAAAGAATAATTGCTGAACAGATGCCATCATTCATACGGGTCACCTTTCCTCCCCTTGGACTCAAGGACAGTTTACATAAGGTGCCTGAATTGCCAACATACCTATCAGCATTAAAGGCAAACTATTACATTTATAGATAAGATGTTTCGACATCACTACCTAATGCCTGTACAGTAAAATATCATTCAGTCAACAAATACTGAGTTTCTTCTATGACTAGATGCTGCACTAGGTGCCATGGCTACAACAGCAAAAATATTGTCTGTGCTCTCAAGGAATTCTGTGGGAAAAGACACACATGCAAATAGTGTGAAAAAGTGCTCTGATTAGTGTAAATACAGAGGGCTGTGCATGTACCTCATCAGCCTGGGAGAGTCAAGAAAGTATATTTAGAGAAAATGACTTCTTGAAGTTGGGGGTCGTAGGAGATGGGTGGATCCTAAGAGAAGAAGAGGAGTTAAGGGAGAGGAGGAGGAGGAAAAGAAGAGACATTTAGGTATGGGAAAGAACATGTGTAGTGGCTTGAAGAGGGACAGCATGGTGGGTTTGGGAACTGCAAGTAATTCTGTATGACACGCATAGAGTGTAAGGGGGAATTAAAAGGGAGAAGACTGAAGATAAAAGCATGGGCTGGATTGTGAAGGGCTATGTATACTCTCCCAAGATACATGACCTTTATCCCTCACAGTTTCTTTTTCTTTGCTCAGATAATCAGCAACGTTACAGTCCTGAATTTCCTCCAGGCTCTAGGATATCTATACACTAAAGAAGAACTGCTGGAGTCAGAGCTTGATGTTTTGAAGTCTCTGAATTTCCAAATCAATCTGCCTACTCCCCTGGCATATGTGGAGATGCTCCTAGAGGTTTTAGGTACTTTATTAAGTGTGTCAGGGAATGTGGGTTGGAGACTACCATATGAGGCAATAAAAAATATGCACAGGAATTTGGGAGTAGTGGGCAGAACTTGCCAATGAGGAACAGCAGGAAGCCTGATGGTGTCTCTAGATAACAGAAAAAGGTGTTTCCTCTAGCACTTGTCAGGGAAAGTTCAGAGGTCTCAGCAACTGGTTTCTTTGGACTCACCAGACATTCTTTTATTGCAGGCTATTGGTTTTATAGAAAGGCATAACATGAGAGGAACAAATATACTCTAATAATGTATATACTACAGATGGAGGTTTCTCTACCTCTCCCTTTGTCCTTTAAAATTGACCTCCAGCTAAACAGGTTTCTTAGAGTGGAAGATAGCAACCATGAAGCACATTAGAAGCTCAACAGCTTTATGTCACAAGACAACTGTGGTTCTGATCAGAGAAGATCCACTTAATGTTCTCTACCATGCCCACACTCCATCCAGGATACAATGGCTGTTTGGTCCCAGCCACACGGCTGCATGCAACCTGCCTGACCCTGCTCGACCTGGTATATCTTCTGCATGAACCCATATATGAGAGCCTGCTGAGGGCTTCAATTGAGAACTCCACACCCAGTCAGCTACAAGGGTAAGGCAGCTCCTATAGGGTAGGCTTCTTCCAGAAAGAGAGGGAGTGGGGAGCAGACTGCAAGAACTTGGGGAACAGGGGATTACTGATGGCTTACTTGGGAGAGTGTGGTGCTGCTAACACCAAGATCAAGGGTTCAGATCCCTGCACCAGCCAGCTGTCCTTCCACACCCCCACACCCTCATGCCCCCCCCCCAAATACTTGGGGAATGAAATTAACCTAGCAAAGAATCCAGTCCACAGATAACCTATACAGGTTACCTGGTTCTCATTAACTTCCAATATGTTGCTTGGATGCAGAGGACTGTGCCCAATCAGAAGAACCCTAAAGGCTTTTACTTTTAAATTACATCAAGTAATTAACATACTTTCTTCATTAGTTCTTCCTTTATACCTGTTTGTTTATAATTTGAGATTATTGGACTACTTTTAAAGTCACTCAGGAAAATAAGACAGTCACAGGGTTGCAATTTATACAAAAGTGTTTGAGTACTGTAAAGTCAGACTGATCAAAAGTCTCACAGTTACGTTTATTAGGCAGACAGATGGAACAACAAAAGGCCTATTAACCATTCAGAAATGAGGTTCATGCTTCAATCCAGGGGAGGATGAGGGAGCGGTCAATTAGCTATTATTTGACCATTTCCTCCCTTATCTAAAAAATCTAAGATGATCAACATAAACAATTCATAGCTGAAGTTCCATGAACCTAGGATTTGGGAGATTAAGTTTCATTCTAGCTGCACAATTAATATGTTTTAATCACTCAGGGAAAAGTTTATTTCAGTGAAAGAAGACTTCATGCTGTTGGCAGTAGGAATTATTGCAGCAAGTGCTTTCATCCAAAACCACGAGTGTTGGAGCCAGGTATGCACCACTGAGCAGGACCAGCATGGTCGAAGTTCACTTAATAGAAAGCATTCCCCTATCAGTTAAAAGAAAACAGAAGAAAACCTACAGATAAGTGCCAAGATCCAGGATTAGGATGAGTGAGCAAGATTTGGGAGAGAAAAAACTAGGATAGGACTGAAACATTTCCTCCGGCTTTCCTCTTATGAAATTGGAAATGGAGTCCCAAGTTCAGCTTGTTTGTTTCCCTTTATAATGATGACTCACTGTTATGTTAAAGTCCAATAAGTACATCCCCCCAAATAGAGAAAATGGCAAGGCCAAAATATCTACCTTAAATTTTATGAAACTTAATCTCCAGCAGAGGGGGATGTCTACAGAAAGTTTCCATGCTAAAACTATCAGGGCAAAGGTATCCTAATGTAATTTGGCCATTGACAAACACTGGAATCTGGATTTAGTCTCCATAAGATCAGAGAAATGGAAAAAAATTTATGTTTGGCTTGGGATCCCAAGCAATGTGTGCGTTTGTGCACTAAAACATGTTAAGATTATTTATTAATAAGAAATCTGTCTCTATTTCTGAAGGTTGTGGGGCATTTGCAGAGCATCACTGGCATTGCCTTGGAGAGTATTGCAGAGTTCTCTTATGCAATCCTGACTCACAGCGTGGGAGCCAACACTCCAGGGCGACAGCCTATTCCTCCCCACATGGCAGCCAGAGCTCTGAGGGCTGCTGCTTCCTCTAACACATGAGGCAGGCTGAATCCACCAAATGTAAACAGCCTTCCATCACTGCACTCATGCCTCTCTTTGTTTACTTTCATACTCAGGGTACAAAAGTTCCAAGTCTCTTTTGAACTGTATTTTGTATTCCAATTTCATGCTTATTTTTCTGCATCAGAGAAAGAGTTAAAGTGGATAAGCATGTCCTTTTTGTCAAATCAGACTGAAAATGACAAGTAGCTGGGAGGAGATAGAAGATTAGTGAAGTTCATTCATTTTTATTTAGCAAGATATTTATGGCTATTCTTTAACTTAATTTCATTAAGAAGGAACATCAGACATGGAGATTAGTATCAAAAACAGAAACTATCTGGATGATCTTAATTGAACACCAAAGAGGTAGCCTTTATTTCTCCTTAGTTTGACATTTCTGTTCTGTTATTGAGACCTACACAAATAGGGCTTTCTCTACAGCTGTCTATTTTCACTAGAGTCTTTTTTTTTCCTTTTTGTCTTTTTCCGTGTCCGGCAACGGATCGCAACCCTCAGTGTCGCCCCCGTACCGGACCGGGACCGGCAACGGGATCGCAACCCTCGGCATCGCTCCCGCGCCTTGCTCAGCCAGTGAGCGGGAACCGGTCCGTATGTGGGATCCGAACCCTCGGCGGGAGTGCCGCCGCACTTCCCAAGCGGCGCACTATAGCAGTGCGCCACCGGGCCAGCCCTCACTAGAGTCTTCTTTAAAACTAAAATTAACCCATCTCTAAGCATGTTTCAACAGAATTACCTCATATCAGCACTTGAACTCAATTCTCCCAGAATATAAAGTACTCTATTTTAGTTAAAGACCCAACAGTGTACCTCTGGTCAGTTATCAGACTGTAGCAAGTCTTTTATTACAAATAATTAAATCTCTCCATAATGTCTCAAACAGTATCAAACACCATTTCACATTTCTAACACAGAGCAGAGAAGGCATTCGGGACTAGAACCAAGTGAGAAGTGTTACATTTCAAGCTTCTGATCACATCACATGGTGTCCAGGCAAAGCTTAGATGTCATTTTCCCACATTATCCAACTGTGCATCTCAAACATCTCGTCTCAGTGGGGACAAAAGTTTCTGTTTCATATTGTAAGTGAAGGAAGTTGAGAGAGATAAAATCCAGTCAAAACACATCTATCTCAATTCAACTCAGTTTAAAAAAACAAAAGCAACAAACTTAAATTAGTTGTTTTCAGGGGAGAGAGGGAAAGGAAGGCATGGGGTTAAGAGTCAAAACTGACAAGGGCTGGTAGCTATACACGGCATGCTGTAGCTCTAGAAACTGTCATATGATATTTTAAAATAAAGTGACCTTTGTGGATTTTTATTTTTTTTTTGGTATTGTAAACATGTGCTGTTTAATAATACCTAAATTTAACCTAAAACTTCTTTTGCAAACTAAACAAAATTTAAAGCCTTTAAGGCACACATTCCCCAAAGGAAAAAAGAAAGTCATTTGTTATAAAATTGTGAGGATACCCAAGCAAGACCCCACTTAAGATTCGTCAACATGAACTTGAGAGCTTTTGTCCACTGTTCCTCAGAGTTAAACTGGGTTTTGATGGAATAGGAGCCGCCACTGCCTCCTGTGTCTTCAATCTTGCCTTTCTCCACATCCATCCTGCAGATGGATACAGCATAGCTCATTAGTAACAGAGATCCAAGTTAAGTCAGTTCAGGCAAATGGGCAGGAACTTGATCATGGGACCATTCACGTCATCTTATTAAAGAACTCTTGGTGAGGAATGGTAGTGTATTTTGGATTTGCTTGAAAGCTAAAAATCAAGAAGGCTGCCACAAGAGCCTCATTGTCATTGCAGGGTACAGAGACAGGACACACACCCAAACAGATGAGAAGCCTGGAGCAGGAGGTAGGGTTACAGTACTCATCACTGTTTTTCTAGGCATCCCTGAATTCATGGGGAGAGAAGGGAGGCAGAAGAAAAGAAATGCTTTGTTTTGGGGTGATAGAGGCAGCTCAGTGCCTTACTCTACATAAGAACTAGAGTTTCCACCCATTACTGAGCTCCTATAAAATTTGACCAAAAGAAGCATTCCTATGTATTTCCAAGGGCTTCAGGGAAAATCCTTCCTGAAACTGGAAAGCAGGCTTGAGCTCTGTGTCAAGAAAATCCCTCAAACCATTTAAGACAACATTCTTTTACCCCAGGGACCAGGTGATCACATTCTGTCCTGCTTGCAGTGTTGGATCAGTCTTGGCCCATCAGTGTCATGGAATTTTACACTATATTTTGCTTTCCTACCATCTATACTACGTGTTGCCTCCATTCTTATTGTTCCTTCAATTCCTTTCAATTTGGTCCTACTATAGGTTCACTCAGCATTGGGGGATACTGACCTGTAAGGAAGACAAAAACGTGTCTCGCCTTTCTCAACCTCTTCTTTGAACTGCTGCACACAGTCCAGGAAAGCCACCATTGCATGATCAAACTTGTTGTCCCAGAAAAACCGCAACCCCCCAGAGCAGTATAACGGCAGCTCCTGACCAAGAAAAGAGAACTGGCTATTGGTGTGGCACCAAGACAGGCTACCACAGATAGTTCCCAATCCTATCAATCTCTCAAGTCACATTCTGTCTATATACCACTGGAAACAGGTATTGTGGCTGAACTCTATGTTTTATAACCTCTAACCACTGCAATAACATTGGGCAAATAACAGTGCACTTAGAACTGTTTTACCATCAATGGAAATATACATCTATCACATGGTGATTCTTTCCCCATCCCAGTGCACACATCGTCCTCTGATTTACCTATATCCCTTCTCAAAGACTGTAGAAATCTAATTTTTCTCTACAACACCCAAAGGGCTAAACCTGAACTAGACAAGATATTGAACAAGACTCTGGCTCTTCATGAGCTATCTCAGTCTAAGAAAGAAATTGAATAATGCCAATATCAAAGCAAACCATCAATTTTGTTAGCAGGTATAAGAATTCTGTATTCAGTGAAAATGGAGCTTCCCAAAGTACCTTAGATTTGTCTGTCAGAGACTCCAGATACGAATGATTTCCATAGGGAACAAGTCGATACCTAAAATGAAGATGCATACAGAGATGGATACAGGACTCCTCCTAAAGCGATTATTAAGAAGTTATAACCCAATGATTTTCACAATTCATACTAGCCAAGGATTTCTTTTATTATTCCCAACCCTCTCTCCCACCTCTTCACAGGATACATGCTTCAGAGTTTTTGTTTACTGAACAAACCACATTTATTACATAATTGTCTGGGGGACTTTCAAGGACAAATGTATCTTTTGGTTTAGATTTTAAAAACAAAAACTGATAATATCTTGAGGAACACTAAAGTTCTAGAGACCACGGGTTGGGGATTTCCACTATGTTTATACAGCTCAAAGATTGCTCGATCAGTGGAAAGAGCCCTGTGGTAAGGGAAAACCAGAAACAGAGTCTCCACCCACAGAAAACTCCCAGTTTGTTGGCAGCAAGGGCTCCTGCCATACTGGAGAGCAGAACCAGCTTGGAGATAGATACAGATTATATCAAAGATACATCACACCCCAAGAAAGGGCTACATTTCTTACCTCTGAAATTTCAGACCCATCTTATTGGCCAGGGCATGGAGCAGCAACACTGTCTGGCCCCAAGCAGCATTAATCTCATTCCATTCCACAGGGACACTGGGCAGGCGACCCAGTCTGAAGTTATTGATTGTGCCAAATTGTCCACTGTGCCTATAAAGGAAGGCAGAAAAAATACAGGTATTACTTAAAACTTTTGAGATTTCCCACTATCACCCGAAACCTAGCATAAATCTCTCTCCTCATCTTCAGATTCATATATCTAAACTCTACTTGGCACTTTAAATACCTGTCTAAAATTTGAGTCATCACCTTTGAGTCAGAAACCTGCTGTCATCCTTGAATGCTTTCTCTTGGCTCCTTTCCCTAAAAGCTGACCAAGCCCCCTGGTGTTCAGATGCCAAAGCAGAAACCTGCTGTCATCCTTGAATGCTTTCTCTTGGCTCCTTTCCCTAAAAGCTGACCAAGCTCTATTGATTTTACCTCCTAAATCTCTTAAATCTGTCCACTTCTCTCCAAATTCAATGCTACTACTCCTTTCCTGTTTAGAATCCTATGGCCAGGGCCGGCCCGTGGCTCACTCGGGAGAGTGCAGGGCTGATAACACCAAGGCCATGGGTTCAGATCCTATATAGGGATGGCCAGTTAGCTCACTGGCTGAGCGTGGTGCTGACAACAACAAGCCAAGGGTTAAGATCCCTTTACTGGTCATCTTTAAAAAAAAAAAAAAAAAAAAAAAAGAATCCTATGACCAAATCTCCTTACCAAATACCACCTCCTTCCCTCAAGTCATTTCCCACACTGCAGGTAAAGCTATCATTTACAAATGCAAATGTTATTTTGCCACTTTTGTGCCTTTTGAATCAAGTCCAAACCCTTTAATGAGGCCTACAAAATCCTTTAGGAACTGGTAACTCTCTAGTTTCATATCCAGTCACTTTCCCCTTTACATTCAATTGTCAGTCACAATAAGCTTCTTTCAATTTTCTCAGTTCACCACTCCCTCTTTCTTGTTTCTTTGCACATGATGTTCTCTCTGCCAGGAACAACCCCCCATCTGCAGACTTCTACTTCATCTCTCAGCTTAAACATCAACCTCCTCTGGGGTAAACTTTCCATGCGGCCTCCTCAAATTAGATAAAGTGCCCTTATGTGTTTCCACAGCACCCTGGGTTTACCATTTTCACACTGTATTACGATTGCTATTATTCATCCATCTCTTCCACCAGATTATAAGCAACTAGAAGGTAGACTGCACACTGTTTCTGTCGCCCTCCTAGTGGTTAGCACAGTGCCTACCACATAGTAGACACTCAACAGTTATTAAATGGATTAAACATCAAATAAATTAAAACATGAAATTAGCACCAGGCAGCTGACCAGGTTTTCATGTGGCTGGAGGGCTCAGACCTTTCCCCTTTCTTGGAAGGGTGGATATCACCAAGCTCTAGAATTCTAATCCCCTGATTGTGCCTATTCCATCACAAGAAATCAAAGAAACCTAGCTGGGGTGAAGATAACACACA